CAGGCACATCTGGCACTTGGCTTCGGCTGCAAATTTCTAACGAGAAGCACACAGCAAACCTAATTACCTCATCGAAAACCGTACACTGGAGCGCAGCACCATACACAACCAATTGATAGCAACAACTTTTGGTGTTTGCCGTCTATCGTTACCACGGGCAATGTGGATTGCGCTTGGTTGTTGTTGTTGTTGTTGTTGACGTGTCTTGTTGGCTCAGAGAGTAAACTTCCGCTGGCACATCCTGCCGCTGAGGCCCAGACGCCTACGTTGGCCCTGACTCGGCCTCGGTTCGCATCGCACTGCTGCGCCACGCCTCAGTTAGTGTCTATCATATTTATGGCTATTTAAAGAGCCATAAACAAAGGCGCGTGTGTGGTTTTATGTTAGTCTGTATGTCCGTGTGGTTGTGTGTGTGTGGAATTGCTATGATATTAAATTGAGTTTTATGCGTGATTTCCCTCTTAACACTTTGTTGACATGTACTTTATGGTCGGTTAGTGAACTGTTTTAAAACTAAAAATTATATCTTTCTCACTTCTTTTTCTATCTCGAACCGACAGACGGAACAATTTGCTGTACTGTGGATACTTTTTACCGTCATTGTGCTGGGCAATTCGGCGGTTTTATTTGTGATGTTCATCAACAAGAATCGCAAGTCGCGAATGAACTATTTCATTAGACAGCTGGCGCTGGCAGGTGAGTGAGGGGTTTGGCGGCATAGATTGGACTAAAGTTCCTATATTTATATGTGTTTACTTTTGATAGATCTGTGTGTGGGACTGCTCAATGTGCTGACGGATATCATTTGGCGCATCACAATCTCGTGGCGGGCCGGAAATGTGGCCTGTAAGGTCATACGCTTCTCCCAGGTGTGCGTCACATACTCCTCCACCTATGTGCTGGTGGCCATGAGCATTGACAGATACGATGCAATAACGCACCCAATGAACTTCTCAAAGTCGTGTAAGTCCACGCTCGTAAACTTTTTTAATTGGAAAATGTTTGGCACTTTACGTAACAAGCCAAATGTTTATGTGTGTTTGTCTCCATACAGGGAAACGCGCTCGTCATTTGGTGGCTGGCGCTTGGCTGCTCTCCGCTCTCTTTTCGTTGCCCATACTAGTGCTGTATGAGGAGAAACTCATACAGGGCCATCCGCAGTGCTGGATTGAGCTGGGCTCGCCAATGGCCTGGCAGATTTATATGTGTCTCGTCTCGGCCACATTGTTTTTGGTGCCCGCATTGATAATATCCGCCTGCTATGCGATTATTGTAAAGACCATATGGGCTAAGGGCTCCATATTTGTGCCCACAGGTAGGTGGACTATACCAATATAATCTACCCAATAGCTCTTGCTCATGTGTTACTTTGCCTAGAACGTGTAGGATTCGGCGGTGCAGCAACAAGGCGCGCCAGCTCGAGGGGCATCATACCACGCGCCAAGGTCAAGACTGTGAAGATGACGCTAACGATTGTATTTGTGTTTATTCTATGCTGGTCGCCATACATTATATTCGATTTGCTACAAGTCTTTGGCCAGATACCGCACTCACAGACCAACATTGCCATAGCCACATTTATACAGAGCCTGGCACCACTCAACTCGGCAGCGAATCCTCTAATATACTGCCTGTTCTCCTCACAAGTGTTTCGCACGCTCAGGTAAGCAACGGATTCGAGAACATCAACCATACCACTAATCACGACCCTACTTTAGTCGTTTCCCGCCCTTCAAGTGGTTGACCTGCTGCTGCAAATCCTATCGCAACAACTCGCAGCAGAATCGCTGCCACACAGTGGGTCGTCGTCTGCACAACAGCTGCGATTCCATGCGCACTCTGACCACCTCTTTGACGGTTTCAAGACGCTCCACCAATAAGACAAACGCCCGGGTCGTCATCTGCGAGCGGCCCAACAAGGTAATCACCGTGCCGGCCATGTCAGAGGTATGATAGCTGGCGCATTCAACCCGCAAGCGTTCAACGTTCGCGGTCCATGGACCGACGTCCTTCAGCGATGCGGAGTTTCTATAAGTAAATTGCCAGCGCCCACAGCAGGCTATATGAGGCTTAGACAATAAGTGCGATAGTTGTGTGTGCATAGCGAATGCCCAAATCGAATATATATACATATACATATATACATACATATATGCATAATGTGCGTGTGTTTAGGTGTGCTACGAATTTCAATGCATGTATTTTCCATTGCAATTTATTCTTAGTATTTATGCAATTAGCTCGTAACTATCATAAAGGATCTACTATAAAACAAAACTTATTCAACTGAATGAGAACTTAACATCACAATGCATTGGGCATCGATTTGTTTCCTAATTTGTCTTAAATCCTTTTGCATTTTAGCCTAATACCAAGTGATGTTATTTTATAAACACTCCTACTCGTATTCTATTTACCAGACTGATGTTATTTATTTACACGAAATTCAAATAATTGCATTTCTTTTATGCCCAACTAGTTGTTAGCATTAGTTATTTACAATATACATACATATATATACTCCCTATATAATCGTATTTTTATTCTGCCAACTACATATATATACCAATCTTCGGCTGTACATACATACATATTTGGTAGAATCTAAGTGTGTAGAACTTGTTCAAGCATCAAAAACCAAAATCTATATACAATTAATGAAAACATAAGAATTAATAGAGCATAATGTTTTAGTCAATTTGGTCTAAGCTAATATTTATTTCATAATTATATGTATCAAGTGAGAAAGCGCAAAGAATAAAGGCCAAAAGTAAAAAGAAGAAATCTTTTGGCTCATATTTTAATTCATTTTGGCATGCGCCACAAATTTCATTATTAGGTCTCTATGCTACAGCGCACAATGGGCCCAAGGACGAAACAGCAAGGACCAACGTCGAGTACGCTGAGCAGCAGGGGTCAAGCCGGGACAGCTCATTTTCAATCTCACTTCATATATAATTGTTGTAATATTTGCGACTTTTAACATCAATGGCCAAAAAGTCAACACAAAAAAATGATCAAATGCCTGACTATATGAAATCATATTTCAATATTGGTCTTGGGTTTTGTTAATAGCAAAAAGTTTATTTTACTTTCGGGATATTATAACCACATATTATTATGTAATCGCTGAATACGACTGATTCAATGCGGACAAAACTTTCACTTCCTGCCTGACTGAACAGCTAAGCTCATGGAAACTATTAATAAATGCTGAGAACATAATCAGCCACAAAGTCGCTTGCATTCCTTTTTATTCATTTTTACATTAATGCGCTTCATTAGAAATCAGCGAGTGCGACTGCCCGTAAATATTTGCAATTAGACTTTCATAATTTACTTGTCAACTTTTAATTGAAATTCCATTAGTGGGACAGTCAACTGGCACGATTACAAAACAAAAAGAAACGCAAACTTTATGTCTTATATACATATAGACTATTTGAGACACAAAAAGAAACTTTAAGTGTTGGCAAACTGAATAAATTAATGTCTTTTAAAAAAAAGGAAAAATACGTTTTTTTTAGAAATAACAATTTAAACTCGTTTCTCCAATTGCAAAATGGAAGATCCCTCGTGCACATATACTGAGTACTTTGTTGAGTACCACTCGAAACAATTATTTTTTTAACACTTTCACTCACCGGTGCTCACAGGCAGCTAATGCATTTTTTTATGACAGATCATATTAAAAACAATAATGTTGACTCAGCTTGGCAGTAATATATATACTAAATATAATAAATATACAAGCATCGACTTCTCAATGATCACTAAGGCCTTTTCCAGAAAAAGGAATTTTGACGTATTTGCCGAAAGTTACAATAAATAACACTATTTAAGTAAGTTTTATTTGTTATATTATTAGTGCATTTGTTCGTACTGTATTAATTTGCACTGTCTCTTAGCTGCTGGGAACGGCACAATGAAATTTCTCAACAAACAAAGCCTGCTGAGACTAATCATACAGTTACAGAAATAATAAAAATGTCTCTTGCTGCTCATGGAACAAAAGACAAGAAAGTTATTCCCTTTTATATCATGTTGCTGAATAATATCTGGTAGTGCTTGACAGTCGAAAGGCAGGCAACATTTTAAACATTTTAACACCGTAGCTGATAAAGTAAAAATAACGAAAACAAAAAACCGGTTTTTAATAACATTTGACATGCTTTAATAGCTTAGAAATATTTTTACAATTCGCCAGTTTGCAGTTTAAACATTCCAATACATCGAAACATCGATTTTTCCATGGAAATTTCCTTATACGCTGTTAAAAATCAAAGTTCCTTTCGGACTTACATCAGTACAGCGCATCAAAAATTTAAATTATACTAAGAAATAAGAAATATCTGAACGAATTTAAGGGAAAAAAAATATATGCCCACCAGCTGAATCCTTTGCCTTAAATATTTTACGTTCGTTTCAGTTAGAGCACTCTAAATTAAACCAAACCCAGATATTTAATAGAATTGGTGGGACACGCTGTTGTTTTTCAACTTAAACACATCTAGCCAGAATGCCAAAAACGTTTTCAATTGGTTTTAGGTCGGATAAGCTCATTGCCCAGACGATTAAAGCAAATGAAACACATTACCCAGAACGACCAAGTTTTCCGGATTCTGTGAATAAGTGTGTTCTCCAGCATAAAGATATGCGGCCCCTCCCTATTTTTGTCTAAAAATTGACAAGAGGCTGCTTTCTAGTACATTTGCAAACTATGTGCTGTCAAAAAGCTCGTTATGCGTAGGGCAATTGCTTATCCATTGAACACCTTTAATAAATACCCTTTCTATGACACATTTTGGCTTTTCCTTCAAAATCATCGAATTCTCATAAACAGGCTCGAAAATTAATTCGAAATTATAAAAGTAGTGCAATTGATCCCAAATACGCCCACATAAGACGCTTGTGTCACACTCAAAATCAAAGTACAGAACCTTATATTTAGAACCTAACTCTTAAATTTTTGTGCAGCTCGAACTTTCATCTCCAAAACTATGTTTCCCAACTATTGCTTTCGAAAGCCTCCCAATGATTTCGGCTATGATTTATTGTACATGCCAAAAAATAGCTACAACAGCAGCTCCCAAGAATCCAACCGTCCTGAGCATCAGTCCCATTCACGTTCCCGGTCACGGTCATCGCGGCAAAGCACAAAACTGTGCTGCGATGATCTTATTTCGCTGCAGGCTCTCCAGGAGCACAATGAGAGACTGCGTCATTCGCACGGCCTGAAATCTCGGTCACGAACGCCCGCACGCACTGTGGAGTTTCGCCTGCCTCCGATTGAGAAGCACCGATACAGGGAGGCGACTATGCCACTAAGGGAAAGTGCAGGCATGGAGTCAGCTGAGCGGGAATACCATCAGAAGCAGCAACAACTACAACAGCAACAGGAACCCTCTCCATCCAGCGACTTGCCATCCAGTGCCTCCGATTCCAATCGTGGAATGCAAGAGTCCTGCACAGACTTTTTCAACATCATCTACGAGAATGTCTTGGAGGCAGTGCATGGTGCCGTCGAGCACATGGTGAATAAGCACTTTGAGGAGATCATTACCAGGATGGATCAGCTATCCTCGGACATCACGCATCAGGAGGCGGTCTTGAAGCAATTCAATGCCGATCTGATGGGCAGTAAGTGAAAAAAATTGTTTTAATTGTTGTTAAGATTTCTATTCGTCAACCGAACCTCAGAAATTGGCGAACAAAATGAGACAAGTCTCAATCAGTTCAAGTTCGTTGCCCAGATGCTCATCGACAATCAGACGATTTTCTATCGGGCACTGAGCCACCAGCGGCGATCAAAACAGCATTGCAAAGAGGAGCGGGAGGAACGGGAAGACCGGATGGAGGAAAAGAGTAGTGCCAGTTCGGATCGTGCACAGCGGTTAATGGAAAGCTATAATAGGAGACAAGACTCTCAACCGCAAAAGGTATCGGAGGGTACGTCGCAACAAAGACCGCAGCATCAGCTCTGGCAGCAGCAAGATTCCCGCATTTTTCCCCAGCAGTCAGCCTGCAAGAGTTGCAATCACCACAAGTCGTCGAGATCTGCAAATTCGGCATCCGCCAAGCCAACAATCGTACGTCGTACGGCCAAGGGAATCTCTACTGTAAGCATGCCTGATTTGCATCGCTCCTCTATGTTCCCAAATTCAAGAAGTCCCAGCAACAAGTGCAGTGGCCACCACACCCAGCGTTCACCTACGCCCACTCCGTGGACTCAGTTGGGCACTGGGCGACTTGGCAGCCAAGCGACACAGTCGGGAGCAGTCGGATCTAATCGGAAATGCCGCTGTCTGTTTCCCTCACCCATGACCACACAGGGACAACCGGTTAGTCCAAGACGAAAGTTACGTAGCTTAAGCAAGACGTTGCAAAGTTTGGATGATATAAGATCCCACAGATAAGCCAATGTTAAACTCTGATTTATGCATGGGCACCAACGTACTGTAGCTGCCAATTGTGTTCCATAGAACAGGAGAAGATTCCATTTAATTTGATGTTTCTATGTACACAATTGGCATCTATAGTTGGTTGACTTTATGCCTAAATTGTTTTCAATTCCCGCAAAATTATACATATTACACAAATTTATTGTTGTACAAGATTTTACATTATTACTGAATTATTTAAGTTTCTCAAGAATTTCAGTGAAATTTTGCTAAAGAGTAAAATAAATAATATGTGGATTAACATGAGAAACAAAGGGTGGCATTTTTACATTAAAGTATTGACTTTTATAGTCAAGTCCCGGAAGATGAGCCAAAACGATTTGGAAAAGAAAAAGTATAAACTTAAAAAATAATTAGCTCCTGAATAAGGCATTAAGTATTAAAAACATGGATCTACCTAATTCAGATCAACCGAATTAGAACTGTCTGAGCTCTACGGTCTGATAACGACTATTTTTCAGCATAAGCCGTTGAACAAACGGAGCTAAGAGCTGCGGGTCTACAGAATTCACATCCTGACGCCCAAATATAAAGGTAGCCAAGTTTGAAAGAACAATATTTAAGGAAGCGCCAGTCAAGGTGTACAATAGGAAAGACATATGGTATACAGATGAGCCGCTGTGTGGTTCACTGTAAAAAAAAATATGACTATATTAAGAAAAAATATTTTTGTTCGCTACTTACTATTCCGCTGTTGAGTTTAGATAGCGACTCATATCGAACTCGTAGTCACAATGCTCCACAGAAACTGGCAGCTTGGTATGACGAAATGAGCCGCTCACATTGGCAATTTGTGCATTGACCGTAATCCAAGCCATAACAGCAAATGATAGAACGCTGCTTAAAAACATGCTCTGAAAATATAAAAAGCATTTGTATATAATCGAGGGTGGTTGGTGTAGAATGACCCACCTTCTCACCAACCCAGGGCATTAACATGCCCACGGTAAAGATGCCTAGCATGGGACCGTACAAGCTGGACTGTAGTGTGGCCGACAGCTGCAGCACCATGCCCAGATGCTCGACTACATATACCATAAATATAGAACAAATGCCAAATATAATCACCACCAGACGCATGGTCACTGCTACTGTTTGCTCCGTCATGGGCTTATTGCGCATATGTGGCTTTGCAAAGTCCTCCAGTATGACGGCCGCCAACGAGTTGAGCAGCGTTGAGAGCGAGCTTAGAGCAGCGCTGAATACGGCGGAGACGAACATACCCGGCAGTCCAGGCACAACGCCCAGCACGCGCATAACCATCAGCGGCACCAGCTGATCCCGACGTCCAGCCAGCTGTACAAAATGATGAAAAAATAGCAAAAACCTTTATGATTCAGGAAGATATCATACTCACTCCCGTGGTCATGGGATCGCAGTCATAATACGTGGCATAGCACACCAGACCCACATAGACACAGCTCATATAGAGTAGAATCAACCCAATGCTAAAGGTGAAAAGGGTTTGCTTGATATGCTTTAAGGAGGGTAAACTCATAAAACGCTGTATGGTGGCCTGATTGATCGAGGTGTTCTGCAGCTTGAAAAAAGTACCGCCTACAAACACCGAAAGGACGCTCATGCGCACTGTGGGGTCCAGGCTCCAGCTTCGGAAAAAATGCGGCGCAGTTTGCAATTGTCTTTAGACTTAAGCCCAGTTTAAGACTACTCACTCAGGCACATTGAGCCGACCGCCCTCCAAATTACGCTGCCAGACTACACCAAACCCGCCGAGATCCAGGGTGCCCTTGATCATAATGATCACCAGTGAGCCATACATAATAACACTTTGCACCACATCCGTCCAGACGACGCCTTTAATGCCTCCGACAGTGGTATAGAAGGTGCAAATGACGATCACAATTGGTGTTATGGTATGTACTCCAATGCCACTGACTTGATTGAAGGTTAGCGCGGGCACGTACACCGCAATGGGCAGCCAAATGATCTGAAAGGGGAAAAGTCCTATAGTAATCCTTAGTTACAAATTTTTAAGAGGTTTTCACTTACCGCCTTGAGCACAAAGAGTGAGGCGCCAAATATACGCATGCGTCGGCTGAAACGTCTCTCAAAGTACTGAAAGAGTGAGTGTGTGTAAGCATTTTTGTATTGACAAACAAGTGGAAAATTTGTGTATTGATAACCCCGTGGAAATGCTCTGGGCATTAAACGGAACCAGCTGTAAGTTATTAAGTTAACGTAGTCAGCGTTAAATATGGGACAGTACAAGTGTTAAGGCTTATATAAAACTTCAAGGGCTGCGTTTGTAATTATGATATTTATTGATCAATGAGGGTATAAATTCCTTAGGAAGTTTGAGGATAGTAAGGGGTTTGCTTCATCTCATCCAATTCCGGTTGGGTTAACGATTCGTGCAGCTTCAGTTCCTTCTTCTCTTCATCATCGCTGGCAACGCTCTCATACTCCCCATACCAATATTTGTGCAGGACTGGCGAAACCAGTTCCTTATCCACCAGACGTACATCCTGCTTTCCAAAGTAAATCGTAGCCAACAACGAACAGAGAACCGTTCCTAAAGAACCAATCAAAGTGTACCACAAAAACGAGATCTGATGTAAGCTGTGACATTTGTCCTCGTGAGTATTCCTATATAAAGAAATTACATATAAAATGGAGGTCTTCCTGAGCGCTAGAACGCTGGGCAATAACATACGCGCCGCTGGGGGTATTCGAGTTAGCATGCACCTCAAAGCTGTAGTCACAATCTTCCACGGAAACAGGTTTCATAGGAAAGTTCATTTGGCCGGTAGCCATTGCAATTTGTGCGCGAACAACAATGTAGCATGTAAAGGTGGTGGCTACCGAAATGCCGGTAAGCAAGCTCTGCAATAGGAAAGATGCTTATGCGTAGTTGCTTAGTTGCGTCGCGTAGATGCTTGCCAAATCAAACCTCTGTTCGAACAAATGGCAATAGCATGCCAACTGAGAATGCGCCAAGCAATGGACCACAGGTGATTGCACCCACGGTGGAGGAGAGCTGCATGAGCATACCCAATTTCTGCACTACTGAGACACTTGCTATTGAGATGAGCCCAAAGACAACGACCACGCCTCGGAGGACATAGGCAGTCTGCCGCTCTGTCAATGGGCAGTTGCGATACGGCTCGACAAAGTCCTTGAGCACCACCGCTGAGAGACAATTGAGTTCCGTGGACAGTGAGCTAAGTGCAGCACTAAACACCCCTGCGACAAACAGACCAACGATTCCGGGCACTACGCCAGCACTTTGCATAACATACAACGGTATTACCTGATCCTTGGCGCGTGCCAGCTGTGAAGGACATAAAAGTAATATACATTTTATCATGCGACGACAATTGTCCTACTCACGCCCGTGGTTATGGGATCACAATGATAATATGCGGCAAAGGCGAGCATTCCAATATAAATACACATGGCCATGACGAGTAAAAAGCCTATGAGGGAAATCAAAAGTGCCTGCTTGACTGCCTTCAGGTTGGGCAAGGTCAGAAAACGCTGGACTGCGGCCTGATTTATGCTATTAGCCTGCAGCTTAAAGAAAGTGCCTCCAACAAACAAGGCAAAAACGCTCATGCGAACCGTGGGATCAAATGTCATGCTGGAATTTAAAGACAAGCTTAAAAAAACAGATTCTAAGGTACTTAAAAATGACTTACTCAGGGGCCACCAAACGGTCAAATTGACGATTACGTTCAAGAACCACAGCCAACCCACCCAAATCGTAAGTGCCTTTTATAATCACAAAACCCAAGGCGCCGACCATGACAGCTCCTTGTATAACATCTGTCCAAACAACACCCTTAATGCCACCCTATATGAAAGTAGTACAGCATCAGATTAAGGAAAGTCTCTGAGATAACTGCGAGCAACCGCATTACTTACAATGCTGGTATAGATGATGCAAATGAGACTGGTCAGTGGAACGATCGTGTGAACACTGATGCCGGAAACTACAAATAACCACAAGAAAGTAAGACAATTTAAAGATATATAGATTTTAAATGCTTGGTATTATTTTACAAAACTCACCTTGATTCAATGTAAGTGCCGGCACATAAATGCAAATAGGTTGCCAAAGTATCTATACAAGAGCCAATATATGAACACTTAATATTTAAAATAAAGAGGCCATTTAGATACTCACGTTCATAAGCACGAATAGACATGATCCAAAGATGCGAATGCGTCGATCAAAGCGTCTCTCAAAGTACTACACGGCAAAGAAAAAATAAATAAAATTTAAAGTCACGTAGTGTCTTAAATATGTAATGGAATATCATGTTAAATGCCGGACAGTTACAGGATGAATATTTCCCCTGAAAATAACAAAACAAGAATTTATTTGTGAATAGTTGAGTTTTTTTTTTTCGAGTTCTTCTTTATCAAGACATGCAGTCTTTGTCTTGACATCAGCTTGAGCCTTACTCCTTATAAACCACTCCTGATAATGGAAATTATCTAGGCATTAAACGGAACTAGCTGTAAGTTTTTAGGTTAACGTAGTCAGGATTAAATATGGGACAGTACAAATCTTACGACTAACATAAAACTACAAAGGTTGTTGTTGTATTCATGATCTTTATTGTATTCATGATATTTATAAATAAGGGTTTATAGCCCCTCGGAAGTTTTTGGATAGTAAGGGGTTTGCTCCATCTCATCCAATTTCGGTTGCGTTAACGATTCGTGCAGCTTCAGTTCCTTCTTCTCTTCATCATCGCTGGCAACGCTCTCATACTCCCCATACCAATACTTGTGCAGGACTGGCGAAACCAGCTCCTTGTCCACCAGACGTACATCCTGCTTTCCAAAGTAAATCGTTGCCAACAACGAACAGAGAACCGTTCCTAAAGAACCAATCAAAGTGTACCACAAAAACGAGATCTCATGTAAGCTGTGACTTTTGTCCTCGTGAGTATTCCTATATAAAGAAATTACATATTAAATAATAAATGTATTAAATTATTGGATTTGTTATGTCTTCTTCAGCGCCAGAGCTAGGAGCAATAACATACGCGCTGCTGGGGCCAGTCCAGTTAGTATGCAGCTCGAAGCTGTAGTCACAATCCTCCACGGAAACAGGTTTCATGGGAAAGGTCATTTGGCCGGTAGCCATTGCAATTTGTGCGCGAACAACAATGTAGGATATGAAAGTGGTGGCCACCGAAATGCCAGTTAACAAACTCTGAAAAAGGAAAAGAAGAAAAGCCGTTATTCCTTAGGTAATTTAATACGAAGACCCCAATCAAACCTCTGTTCGAACGAATGGCAACAGCATGCCAACTGAGAATGCGCCAAGCAATGGACCACAGGTGATTGCACCCACGGTGGAGGAGAGCTGCATAAGCATACCCAATTTCTGCACTATTGGGACACTTGCTATTGAAATGAGCCCAAAGACAACAACCACGCCTCGGAGGACATAGGCAGTCTGACGCTCGGTCAGTGGACGACTGCGATACGGCTCGACAAAGTCCTTGAGCACCACCGCTGAAAGAGAGTTGAGTGCGGTGGAAAGAGAGCTAAGTGCAGCGCTAAACACCCCTGCGACAAACAGACCCACAATTCCAGGCACGACGCCAGCACTTTGCATAACATACAACGGTATTACCTGATCCTTGGCGCGTGCCAGCTGTGAAGGAAATAAAAGAAAAATAAAAATTAGATACGTTTCTTCATGCAGTAGAAATTGAGCTACTCACGCCCGTGGTTATGGGATCACAATGATAATATGCGGCAAAGGCGAGCATTCCAATATAAATACACATGGCCATGACGAGAATAAAGCCTATGAGGGATAGCAGAAGTGCCTGCTTGACCGCCTTGAAGTTGGGCAAGGTCAGAAAACGCTGGACTGCGGTCTGATTTATGCAATTGGCCTGCAGCTTAAAGAAGGCGCCACCAACAAACAAGGCAAAAACGCCCATCCGAGCCGTTGGATCGAATGTCATTCTGTAAATTAAAGGACAAGCATTAATGGAGATACCGCGATATTTAACAAGTTAGATTTATATAGCCTGAAGTGCTCTACTAGGAGATACACTGAACCCAGTGCCGAGTTGCCGCTTCACACATTTTCGATTCCTTCCTTACATACATACGCACTCATAAAATCAGGCCCGTCCGCCGCCTGGTACGCAGATAAGGCAGCAGCTTCTTCTTCTCTTAGCCCGAGGCTACGCAAATGGTTTGTGAATGGCATCGATGAATATTATCATCTTTATGAAATTTTCTGACCATTCAAATATATGTAAATATTACCGAAAATGCGAAAAGATCAAATATTTTGATTCTATATATACAATACGAGAGTCAAATTTTAGGTCTCCAGCTCTGAAAAGCTCCGAAATATGCTAAAAAATAGAATACCAAATTCGATTATTCGATTTATCAAGATCTGCAGATCTTAACGTTTTGGGATAGAAGCATCGATACATGCGGACGGACGGACGGACAGACGAAAGGACGGACAGGCAGACGGACATGGCTAAATCGAATTGACTATTAATGCTGACCAAGAATAATTATACTTTATGGGGTTGGAGATGCTTCCCCTCCTGCCATTTGTACAAAACCATAATACGCTTTTACATATTTTCAAATAATTCAGGCGTATAAAAATTACTTACTCGGGGCCCACCAATCGATCAAATTGACGATTACGTTCAAGAACCACAGCCAAGCCACCCAAATCGTAAGTGCCTTTTATAATGACAAAACCCATGGCTCCAACCATGACAGCTCCTTGTATAACATCTGTCCAAACAACGCCCTTAATGCCACCCTATATGAAAGTAATACAGCATCAGATTAAAGAAAGACCTTGAGATAACTGCCAGCAATCGTATAACTTACAATGCTGGTATAGATGATGCAAATGAGACTGGTCAGTGGAACGATCGTGTGAACACTGATGCCGGAAACTAAAAATAACCACAAGAAAGTAAGACAATTTAAAGATATATGTATATATTTTATATGCATGGTATTATTTTGCATATTTATTTATTTACATTAATTATTATTAGTTTTGCAAAACTCACCTTGATTCAATGTAAGTGCCGGCACATAAATGCAAATGGGCTGCCAAAGTATCTATACAAGAGCCAATATATTGACACTTAATATTAAAAAAAAAGGAGACAATTTAAATACTCACGTTCATAAGCACAAATAGACATGATCCAAAGATGCGAATGCGTCGATCAAAGCGTCTCTCAAAGTACTGCATGTTAAGCACGGTAAAGAAAAAAAAATTAAATTAAAAAAATAACGTCATGTCATGAAGAATCTAATGTAGTGTCATAAGTATTAAACGCCGGACAGTTACAAAATAAAAAACTTCTATGGAAAAACAAAACAAGAATTTATTTTTGACTATTTAAGTGTTTTTTTTTTTAATTGATTTCTTTATCAAGACATGCTGTCTCTGCCTCGACATCAGCTTGCGCCTTACGCCTAAACAGCTCTTCCAAGTCTATAACCTCATATTGTTTTTTAGGCAAAAAGCGGCGCATGCACGGCGTAATTAAAGCTGGATCCATTTGAGATACATCCTGCCAGCCAAACACTAAGCTGGCCAGAAGGGCAACCACAGTACAAATAAAGCCGCCTGCGGCTGTGTACCAGAGAAATGACAAATTATATATATTACGATCTGTTGAAGGACTGCAAATAGAAATGGAAAGATAAAAAGTATTTTTGTATTCCTGTTTGTTAGCATATGTTGCTCACCTGTACTCATGGAGAGTGCGCCAGACAGTATTGTTATCGTAAGAATATTCACAGCCCGACACAGAGACAGGCATCTTTGGGTACCGAATCTCGCCGTTCATTAGCGCTAGCTGTGCCTTCACGCAGATCCAAGCCAAGGCAACAAAGGAAACCAAGCTGCCCGTTAAAACACTCTAAAAAATGCAATCCATTAGGCGGGTCTTAAAGATCGCAGATTGAGAGAAGCTAACTTTAGCATTCACCCAGGGCAGGCACACGCCCATCACATAAATTCCTAGCAGCGGTCCCATAGATACAGCCGAAGTGGTGGTAGCCAACTGCACAACCATGCCCAGCTTCTCCACAACATTGACCAGGCCCATGCAGCACGTGCCAAAGAAAACCACAATGGCGCGCAGTAGAAATGCGGTTTGGCGTTCCGTTAGGGGCTTCTTAAGCAACGGACGTACCATATCCTGTGAGATCACGCATGCCATTGAGTTAAGTCCTGTGGAAAGCGAGCTCAAAGCGGCGCTAAACACGCCAGCTACAAAGAGTCCTGGCAGACCAGGCCACGAGCCCAAGATGCGCATCATAAGCAGCGAAGGCAACTGATCGCTGGCCTTGGCAAGCTGAATGAAGCGTATAAGAGAAAGTATATAGCAGTTGGATTTGAGCCCACCTTGGTGCTAATGGGATCACAGTCGTGATAAACAGCATAAGTCACCAGGCCCATGTAGCTGCAGCAGCTCAAAAGGAATATGAGGAGAAGGGTAAATAGAAGCATGGATTGCTTGGCATGTTTATAGCTGGGCAGCGATAGAAAGCGTTGTATGGACACTTGATTGACATCGGAGGATTGTATTTTGTGCAACGTGCCGCCCACAATAACAGACAGCATTGAGAGGCGAACGGTGGGATCCCAGGTCCATCTGTAAATAGTTGAGGTAATATATAGGTTTTGCCAAATAAATTTAAACAAAACGCTTACTCCGGTGCATTGAGACGTCCGCTCTCCCCATTCCGCTGCAACACCACGTTTAAGCCGCCCACATCGTAGGTGCCCTTTATGCACACTGCCAAAATGGAACCAAACATGACAAAGCTCTGGATGACATCTGTCCAAATGACCGCCTTTAAGCCGCCCTGAAATACCGATAATTTGCATGTGAGCTATTTCCTAAACAGGCCATAATTTAATTAAAGCTTACCACACACGTGTAGAAAGTGCAGATTATGCACACAATGGGCGTAATAACATGGATGCTCGTGCCAGTCACTGCAATCGTTGAACTATAGCTTCATAGCCAGAAACTAAGACGAAACTCACCTTGATTATAGGTGATGGCAGGCACATAGAGGGCCACAGGTAGCCAAAGCATCTGTATTTAACATTTAAATTATGTTGTAGCGCTATTTGTTATATTTGATATGTTTAAATACTTGCCATGCCCACAATAAACAGCACAGAGCCGAAGTTTCGAATGCTGCCACCATAGCGCAGCTCAAAGTACTAGGTAAAATTATATTATAATTAAGTTAGAGGAACTCTAAATACTTATTTACAATTAATGCCTTACAAACCAATTATTTACGAGGTATATATTTAGTAACAATGTGCAAGTGGCGTATGTTAGTGACAGTCCTAAATCAAGAAAATAATACAAAACTAAATAAAAATGATATTAACAGATAAGTCTGGCGTTTAGGCAAAGCTACAGTCAAACACGGCATATACTTAATCAAAACTTTTATTATAACTCTTAAGTCGTCAGCACATGCTATGTTATGTAAGAATTCTATTTGCCAGACTTTACTACGGACTCATTAGTCTCCACACTGGCATATTTGCGTCTATAGAAACGTCGCATGCAAGGCGCCAGCAGCTCAACATCCACATCCTCAAGCGCAACACGTCCAAAAATAAAGCTCGAAAGATGGCCAAAAATAATACCGACGACAGCCGCAAAGAGTGTGTAGTTCATAAAGGATATATGATAGATTTGCTGGAAAAAGCTAAGCGAACTTTGAAAGCAAGATATCTGTCAGTAATAACTAATTCAGTTAAGCTCATGCCTGCTACTTACGCCGGCTCAGTGGCAGTCACAGTGGCATTTCTGGGCGTCATTAACGGCAAATCGTACTGGTAATCGCAGCCCTCGATGCTGACGGGCTTGCTTTCATGGTGCAGCTCACCAGAATTGCTAGCCAGTTGGGCATTAATGCACAGCCAGGTCATAAAGGTAAAGGAGCAAAGGGCACCGGATAGAGCGCTCTGTAAAGCAAGGAAAAATATATTTTTATACAAAAGTGATTTCAATAACAAAATCCAATACAAACTTTTGCATTTAGCCGCGGGCACAGCATGCCCATCACAAAGAGCGCCAACGATGGACCCTGTGTCACCGAACTCAGCATCATAAACAACTGAACCATATGTGTGCCCATACGCTCCACCACGAAAACCAGGGCAACGCTCACGATGCCAATGATAACTGTGCAGAGGCGCATAGTGATGCCCGTTTGACGTTCGGTTAAGGGCTTTCTGCAAAGCGGCTTGATATAATCCTCGAGAGAGACGGCGGCCAGGGAATTGAGCGCCGTGGACAACGAACTAAGCGCTGCGCTAAACACACCAGCTATAAACATACCGCACACACCTGGAAATGAGCTCAGCGTATCCATGACAAGCAATGGCACCAGCTGATCCTTGGCTTTGGCCAGCTGCAAAACAGTCAATTAACTTGTGCGGTGCGACTCATACAGATAAAAATCACAAACCTTGGTAGTCAATGGATCGCAGTCGTAGTAGGTGGCATACAGCAGCACGCCATTGTATAGGGTAAGTGAGGTTAAAAGGACTATACCACTAATAAATAGCAGCGACGCTCTTCCCATAGCCTTCACATTGGGCAGTGACATATAGCGCTGTGTTATGATCTGATTGCAACCTAAATTTAACGTGGAATGTGCTGTATAGCCCACAAACAAGGCGAATATAGACATGCGAGCCTTGGGATCGAATGTTAATCTATTTGAATATATTAAAAGTCGTTAGATAAAAACAGTTTTTAAATATTAGTGCTGCAAAACTATTGATTGTACTATCGTTTTTATGGATTATAGCACTATAATTCTGAAATTAAAATGGTTTTCCACAACGATTTTAATCCTTGTAGAAATATTAATTTGAAACTGTCGACAGGGGACCTGTTAAACTATCAATGAGACTATCGGTATATCTAAATGATTCAGTTGTGTCTCACTATCGTTGATATTCCATACACTATCCAACAATTCGAACTTTTTCTCCAACTGGATATTTTAGATATTGTGACTTTAGCACCGTCAAAACCCATTGGAAGTGCACAACCATCAAGATATTTTAACACTAGCTTAAGACGATGCATTAGTTATGATGAACCACTTTATCAACAGTTTTACAGGGCTAGTACATATAATAAATCATTCAACAGTTTTTAATAACAACGTATAACTCTTATCAATAGCTTTGCAGTATAAGAAAAGTACTATTTGAAATCTGAGCTAAATTGACTATCACCTACTCGGGCCACTCGAGGCGTCCACTGTCCAGATTACGCTGTATGACCACACCCAGTCCGCCCACATCGCTGGTGCCCTTAATTACGACAAAGATTACGGCGCCAACCATAATTATGGTTTGAATAACATCCGTCCAGACAACAGCCTTCAAACCGCCCACAGTGGTGTAAAATATGCAAACAATGCACACCGCAGGCGTAATGATATGAACATTTATGCCAGTCACTGTAAGGGGTTCAAATCAAGAACTGGCACAAATTTAGCTTGATCTGATCTAAAACCTACCCTGATTAAAGGCCAACGCCGGAATATAGATGACTATTGGCAGCCAAATAAACTAGAATAAATAGTAATTGGTTATCATTTTTTATGGAGGGTCAATTTTTTTTTAACTTACTGTGGTTACGGTGAAGAGCGCCGAGGCAACAAGACGAGTGGTTTTACTGAAGCGCAGCTCAAAGTACTGTAAATATTTTTTGACTTTGTTTTCTCTCTTTGTTGCCGCTCTTTATTTCGACAATGCAAACGCACACAAATACAAACACATAAAAGAGCGCACGCACACACATCAAGTGAATGTAGGTAACGGGGCACATACATAATCGAATATTACGCATACGCCATGTAGTCGATATGGCAGATAGCTTATGAGCCACCACAACGTTCGCGTCTGCTGTCCAATACAAAAATTGGATTTTGTACATGAAAACAGCTCTTTGTTCTCCCATTTGGAATTTGCTGGCACAACGCACGCATATATTTCGCTTGACACAACAACAACAATGTCTAAAACAATGCTCGGACTTTTCCTGGAAATTCTGCTACATGATAGGCAAATAACTTGTACACATATTTGTCTGGCAATGGTCTGTGGTTTGTTTTGAAAAATGGAATTGGTGGTCCCTGGTTTGATTTTAGCATTTGCTACATATACTAAATCAGCTTAAATTTCTGACTTGCCGAGCCTCTTAATTAAATACCTATTCTATTAATATTGCAGTGCAAGTTGAAACAGGATTTTTACTTACATATTAACATCGTCAATCTAAGCCCTGCCAAAAGCACCACCGTGTGCTTCACAATTAGAAGAGGAGTACCGCCAGCGCTGAGGTTAAACGGACTAACGCTTACCCAAGAAAGTTAATCAAAATACCTGTGCGTCACCCTTGACAAGCGCCTCACTTTCGCCAGCCACATTAAAGGAGCTGTGCAACGCTGTCGAAATAAGGTGACCAAGTTAAATTGGCTCCTCAACCCCCGCAGCGAACTTTCCCTTGGAAGTAAACGGCTCGTTTATTTACAAACTGTGGCACCCATCTGGCGATATGCCATACAGATCTGGGGTTTGGCTGCTCCATCCAATAGAAAAAGAGTTCAATCTCTCCAAAACAAAACTCTGCGCAGGATGGCAGGAGCCCCATTTTACGTGCTCAACAGCGTTCTACACAGAGACCCTGGGTTGAAGAGCAAATAAGGACCCACTGCGCCCTCTACAACAACCGGCTAGATACGCACGCCAATAGGCTCGCCAGCAACCTTCAAGGTGCCCATCCCATCAGGAGGTTAAGGAGGAGAACATTTGCCCACATACTACCCACCCAACTCCACCAACAACGCCCACCCATCCGCAGGGCTACGCGGCAATAATATAGACAGGATAGATATTAGATACAGAAAATAGAATAACGAAACAAGTTTTTAAATTGTAAAAACATGGCGAATTAACAAAAGACATCAAATGGTGCATAAGGCAAAAGAGTCCTTACAAACCACTTATTAAATAAAAAAAAAAAACATATTAACATGCAACATAAATCACAATTAAATTTCTCTGACAACAGAAAAGGCCTAAATCGGCTTAGTATGAAACAAATATTATGTAAAATGCTAATAGAAATTAAAAAAAAAAATATAAAAATGTCTTCAGTATTCCGAAGTTGTCATACCCTTGCAGATAGCTGATAGCAATTTAAACTTGTTTTTCTTATTACATTTGGCCATTATGTGTATAACACCTTAAAATGGCATGCAAAAATTATTTTGTAAATAATTTGTTATATAATATAATAATTGAATCAGACAAAACAAATATATATTTTTAATGGAATTCGAGTTTGGAAATTACTTAATAATTCCAACACTCTTTCTTCAAGGGTGTAAAAAAATAAATAGACTGCGACTTAACACAAATCAGACAACGTTCAACTCACCTCATAAGTGGAAGTCAATTGAAGATTGCAGAAAACAGGCAAAAAGATATACCACGATATAAGTCCCGATATGGCCAGTGTAATGAGTATGAAGGCATATTGGGTACCATAAACATAGATCTCCGTTGAGGTGCCCAGCAATGAAATGCCCGAAACAAAACTATATAAAGGTTATTAATAAATATTATATTAAAATATATAAGCAAAATTTTTAACATCAAATAAATATAATTAAAATCATCTAACAATTATGAATAGAGTATTGTATTAAATTGTGCTATTAAATTATCAATTATTAAAGTATTTTATTTTCCTTTAATCTTGTTGCCGAGAAAATTGAAATCGTTCAGGTTCCCAACAACATTGCCTGTTTGAGCAGCGACATGCGAGCAACTTTTCAAATCTTTTGCCATATATTTCATAATCATAATTTCAATCTGATGGTTAATGTCCACAATAACAATCATCATTTCAATTCAGCCCCAAAACATATGCACTGCCCCAAGCCTTAGCCGTGCCAACAGAAAAGTTTTTGGCAGCCAAAATACCATTAAAAGTTGATAAGAAGTGGCGTTGAAGTATGCAGATGCAGGCACAAAATCTACTATATAATGAATTGAAAGAGAGATGAAATAAAAATAAAAATAAACCATAATGGAACAGCTCAAACGAATCGGCGAGAAAAAGCTGGCGTGTAATTGTAATTCAAAGCACGTCGCCAAAATTTGTTGCAGAAGGCAAACGACTACAGAACAAAATGAACGATAACAATAAAAGGCGTACAAAACAATTGTTGGTGAGGCAAATGATCAAATCTGGACAGAAGGAACAGGAGAAACCGAAGCATTCCTTCATTCCTTTTATTTTTTTTCATTCAGTCATTAATGCGCTAACAATACGCCCAGGACAAAGGCTATGTGCCGCCGAAAGGTGCTTGACCAAACGTGTCAAATAGAATGCTCCAAAAGCGTGACACCACCAAGGTCGCCACAAAACAAAAAAGTAATTTAACAAATTTTTTGAGTTTGCGGCTGCCGTAAGTTTAAACAACTTCAATCAGGCTTAGTTCTTGGGTGCCCTGCCTAAGAGCGAAATGAGCTGCTAAATTGTATTCATGCGCCAGATATTTATCAACAAAGTTCCGCAAGTTCCCAGAGTGATATCAAAGAGCATTATCTGCATAATCATCAGCCATAATAAACTTGACCCTGACACTCTATATTGTATTATACATTATTTATATGGATACATTCTCGCCCAGCTCCCTATCTCTTTGGGGCCATTTACTTAAAGTTTAAATAAAATTCGATTGTTTGCGCAGACAAACATTGCGCCAGACGCCGCTGGGGCTGGCAGTTTTATGTGATTTTTCTTAGATTACGCACGGTTAGTCGTGGCCACCTTATGGCAAATCAAGTGAAATTAGGCGCATATTTTTGATTGATTTCTAAGAAAATTATGTATTTCGATTGGCTAAGCATTTAAATGTGCAAAGACCAATCTGTATAATGAATAGCAAACGATTTTCAATTTTCTTCTCTTATGGAATGTGTGATTCATGGACAGAGATAGTATTGTATATATATTTAGTTATACACAATATAGTATAAGTATTTACACAATAATATTTAAAGTAATTTTTATATTGCAGGAAATTTATTGTCATAATAATTTGATTTATTTTTCGAGTAGTTTTTATATGAATCATCAGGTGAAAGGTGGCTACTTAAATATAAAATAGTAATTAATAATTATTAACCTGACATGGGAAAGTTTAGAAAGGATAAGGCTAAAGATTATATTTTATTTATTTATTAAACTAATGTTATATATTTTTTTCATATTTGAACCAAAAGAATTTTACTCAACTTGTAAATATGGCTTGAACCTCTTATTTAACTTGTTCTTCAAACAAGTTAAAGTACCTTGCTTGTGGGAACGATATCAAAGCAATCTGTGGCATGGACTGACACAAAAATAATGGTCTGTATTCGTGTCCTATTCAATTTAAAACAGAATTACAAAACTGCTTGACCATACCAATGCAGAGAGCAATCCCATTAGGCACTGCACGCTCCAGTCTAAGCAATTAAATAGGCCTCGTCTATCCTGTTGCCCCAGAGGAGCCGACCCCACCCGCATTTACATATAGTTAATGTTGCTGTAACTCACCTAGCCACCAGTGACAGCGAGACCGGAAACACTTTCATTTTGCGTCCACCCACCAAGTAATCCAATGCTTCCGAGCCGCGCCGTTCCTCGATGCCAGCAGCGCCGGGGCCATCTTTTTCATCGGCGGATACTTGGCCCTTTTGCTTTTTCTTCTTCTTCTTCTCGATGAAGCCGAAATAGAAGCCAATTACGGCACAGACCACCAGCATGGCTATGAAAACCAAATAATCAACAATTCCAAAATGTTGCAGTGCGCTGCTTAAATCGCTCACGCTGAGCTTCTCCGTCATGCTGGACGATGATGGCGTTGATAATGTGGTTGTTCCTGTTGCTGGAGCGGCTGTGCTGGCGGTGGTGGTGCTGGCTAAAGCTGCGGCACTTGTTGTTGTTGCTTTTGATGTAGTGCTGCTGCTAATTATGGATTGGACTGTCTGAACAAACGCATTGGCCACTGTCGACGGCGTATTAAGAGTCTCTGCCGCCGCCATTGTCGTGCCCTCCTCCTCAATAGTCGTTGACATAATTCTTTAGACCGCAAGTTGCTTTTATGTGTTTATTTTTATTGACTTCCTGCCGTGTTGCCTCTTTTTTTTTCTTGCCTAAATGCGCTTAGCTTTGATTACTTTTGTATTAGTTTAGTGGCGCACACATACACACGCACAGATAGTGCTACAATGGCTGTAGCCCTCTTCGATTTTTCATTAAGTTTTTGCCACTTGCTTGTGTATCCTAATCACCAGCACTTGCAACTTTGCCACAAGACAAACCTCTTTTGTTATAAAGTATTCTGAGTGAGTTGTGACGAAAATAAATTTGTTATAAATATTTTTTTTTGATTGTAGTAGATACTTCTAAATTCTTATAAAACAGCTTTAGTTTCAAGTACAAATAATTTTTAATTTCAAATCGCTTGTTTCGTAAGATATATATTTAATATTTAAATGTAAAAATTATAAATAGCAGTCAACACAAAGAACGAATCATTTTGCTGTGGTTTAGGAAATACACAGAAAATATTTGCTAGAACTTCAGTTAGTCGCCAGACATAAGCATATAAAACTATATTCTCTATTAATTGGTTGACTTTACAAGACACGCACTGCCGATCCTTTCGAATCAGGATAACAATCACAATTAATCAAGCGATGACACAAGTAACACACACAAGTCGCAGCGATAAACTGAACTTAAAGCCTACACGAACCGAGCATCTTCTACGGTTTTGAGATCAGCAATGCTTATCACAGACGATCTCATATTTCATGTAAATCTTATAAGTGCGCATGTCTGTATGTGAGTGGACTTTAATAACAGATTAGGCGGTCGTCTATATTGAATAAATAAATACACACCCCCACTTTCTTGTAGTCTGACGTGTTATATGGAAGTCTTTGTCTGCCATTAGCTTCTAAATTATACGGGCGCCGGGCTAAGATAAAAGTGTAAGTCCGCATATCTCATCCCAGTTTTTTTCCTATCATCATACGTCTTTCACGTCAGTCAGGTGTTATGTTTACATTTAAGATAACACGTTGATAACTCCGATTCAGGTGCTTGATTTGTATATAGTTAGATTAGTGTATGGTTTGAACTGGCTGTTGGCAAGATGCTACTGGTTATGTTTACATTAAACAACGTGTATCTATGAACAATTCTCACCTTGAAATCCTTACAGAGTTTAAACATTTTTATATAGTATATTTCAATTATTTTATTTTATAAACCTAATACATTCTTTGATATATGCTTGTCAAATTCATCTGATTAAAGTTAGGCGCCGTTTATTTTTTTTATGCGCTCGTAAAGGCCATTCTATGCATGCATGGCGTATGCGTGATATTTGACCAAATTTGTGGTCACATATTGGAGTGAAGCGCTAACTGAGCATTTTAAATATACACAATGTATAATAAAAGATAACAATTTGCTTACAACCCGAAGCTGTCACCAAAAACAAATTATTTATATATAAATATAAATACAGACGGAGAACGCTAAAAAACACTCAAATGCAATCTTCAATAGGTAAACTATTTTCACTATAAACCAGACTTTGTTGTACAATTGTTGCCTTGTTATCGCTCTCACTGCATTAAGTGTGATTTTTATTGGGTTCAACTAATAAACTAATGCACATTAATGGCCATACAAAGGCACAATGCACATGGATTGTGCGTCAATTTATGCTAGATGTAGAGTGTATAAATATATAATTTAATATGCAACGAGACCTTTATGCAATTAATCAATTGAAAATTTTCAAATACAACACGTCTATGAGAACTAATTGTTTTTTGATTGCTCGTGCCAAACGGAAAGCAGAGCATTTTGTATACATATGTGACCTCAAAACTGTAACTGAGCTAAGTCAGTCGCGAATGTGTGAGGCTTATGTAAATACATGTGCAAATTCAATTTGCGAACCCTCAAGTGCGCACCGAGGCGTATGTGTATTATATGTAACTGACTTGGCAAAAGTGCGTAAAGTGCATAACAAAAAAAAAATTGCGGATTTTTTTGAGTATGTTAGTAATTTTAATTTAAATATTTAAGCGAATAGATGCTAGTTTGCGGTTGACATCTGCCACAGCAAACACAGACACAGAATAAGTTATAATTAAATGTAATTAAATAAATTTCAATATGCATGGTGTTATTATTTGGAACGAGCTCAACGCGAACCGGAGGTGCCAAGCCATAATGAAATAAAACAAAAATGTATTTGGCCAGGAACCAAGAGGACGCCAACTGCTACAAGAAGGGAAAATTATTATTTTTTACTAAAAAATATAATATTAAAAGCGGCAGGCAGCATGGAGATTAAAAGGAAAATAAAAACAGCTTGCAAAGTAATGAACAGAAACGAAAGCTAAATACGTACCCCTTTTTTAGAGAGTTGTGCATATAAAATATATATATATACTTTTTTTGTCTTGCTTTATGGTTTTTAATTTGTCTGGGAGTCGCACCTAGTTTGACTTTATGGCCCGCGCCGAAAACAATCAACGCCTCCAGAACATCAACAAATGCGCGTGCAAAATTCTTTTGGACCGTGAACGGGAATTTATTCTTGTATTGAAATAAGATATAAAGTAACAGTATTTTTTTATTATAAATATTATATGGGAACATCTGATTCTCTTGTCTTGTTTTTGTCACTGATGCCTATTTGCCGTTGGCAACAGTTTGATTTTTTTTCCTTCTTTTTATACCATGTACCTTTACATTTACGAAAAGGGATATACTTGAAAGTTTTTGAATTTGTCGATTGTGTAGTCAGTCCAAAGCAATCGGGGAAAATCGCTTGCTTTAAACTTTTTTACCATTCCGGTCGACCGAGATTTAACTCCCTGTTTAAATTCAATTGCAAGCTTCTACGTAACACAATTATGACGACCTGCTACACGATTTTGGACATTTACGTATTTTCCAAGCAAAGCTGGGTAATACGTGCTAGTTTCTTATTACCGAATTTATAAATGGGACTACACAATACTTTCATATCTGTCCGATAATCTCTATTTACTCTACAAACTCGACTACTTTGCACAGGGTGCCAGTTAGTCCTGTATACTCTATTAAATCACTTGAACGGGTTCTTTTTGTATTGTGCACACTTGAGCCAATTTAACGCTTCCGTGTGTTTTTTGCTCGCCACGCCTTGCTGGCTGCACGCTTCTCTTACTGTTGCAAAATGCTGCAATATGCTCTGGTACACTTTGATTTACTTTTAGCTAACAACTACAAGTAAAGGCGAATTGTGTAAAAAAAGCTCTTGAAACTTGTTAAAGGCGAAATTGTTGCAGAGAACTCGCATCTTCACGTGAAAATTGTGAAATCTTACAGCTGTGATCGCAGCTGCGAAATGAAATGGAAACTTGAACTTATTAGATTCTGAAATCCAAATGTCAATTAAATGAGTGACACTTGTTTCCGACAACCAATTTGATAGCAGTCAAGCATTAGATCTTGATATGTCAAATAAAGCGTATAAAAAACTTGTAACGATTTAAGTTTGAAATAATTAAATAAATTTAAAAAGTAAATCAAATTAATATTAATTTATTAAGAGCTATTATAAAATAAATTAATTTCAATCATGTGTAATATGGTAAAATGCTGCACAAATAATGGCCTATAAACTTTTACATTTAAGTTTATTAATTACATCAAAATCAGGTTTTGTGTATTTTCTGGCCCATTTGGCGTCCTTGAACTTTCCGACTAAGGCCAAGGCCAAAGGAGTTTCAGTATGTTCACATTTTTCAGATATGTCCGCCAGGACTTGATTTGAATTTGGCTGCTGCTTTTAACACACATGTATTCAAGTGTATAAGCATAAAGTTGGCTTTTCCCTTTGAGAATTGAAGACCAGAATAGCCTGTCGAGCCCCAAATGATTTAATATGTACGGGGCAAAACTTTATTAGAATTTTCGATGATATGTGGTCAGAACTTGCTTGCCTGGGTCCTCATATGCATTTGGAAAGTTATTCAATTGAAAAATATTTTGGCAACCAGACGTACAATAAATGAGATACAAATTTGCAAACTTTTACACAATTGCTATGCGCTTGTAATGTGTGCGTCCAAAGAGCTCAAAAGGCTAAATACTTCCCTTATTTAAAAAGTATTTTGTTATATCTTCTATGTGTGCATGACATCTTTAGGGAACGCATTCTTAATTCTATTTTGAGTAAAGTACAGAAAGATTTGTAATCAATTATTAACAATTACATTTAGCTGCATTATTTTTACGACAGATTCATTGGTATATTTTCGTAAGCCGAAACTCAAAATAATTCATGATTCCATATGACAGAGCTATATGATATATTAGTCCGATATAAACAGCATGGTAAAGCTCGTAATAATAAATTTGGTCAAGCTATCTTAAAGAAAAAAAAATGTTTTTGGCTATAATCAACTACGCAGTTGATAATGCTCAAGAACAAACGAAATTGTAAGCAGGACGGCTCGAGCTCAATGGTTGTCTCACCAACTCACGACGATAAGATATAAACACCAAACGTGAGCATGACAGCCTGCCTCTAGATATTTCAAGAATCTTCCGGTTCTATCTTGAGAAGACTTTGTGAAACCTCCAGACTTGCAAGCTCTTGTCCCCAGCTATAACCACTTGAGACTAGGCAAAAAAAAAACGTCGACAAAGCTAGCAAATCCAAAGCCTACTTTTGTATGTTTACCTCTGGTTCGGAAATGGCTGCTATGCTTTACAAATGTCATACCACAATAAGAATACTCTCTACAAGCAGCTTTTGTTTTCTTTATCGACACCGACAATAATATTGATTAAAATATTTTAATAGCTTTTACTTATCTTAGACCCCCTGAACTGTGCCAATCGTTCCAATCTTTTCGAACAGCTAAGATTATAGCCATCAAAAAGAACAACAAAACAATGTTATCAATAAAAACAATTATTTTGTTTTTAGTTAAAAATAGTCTTAAACAAAGATTAAATAACTTTCTAAACCATAAACCTTAATCTATATAATCACATTCCTTTATTGGCCTCTTCAAATTTCTTCATAATCTCAATAACTGGCTCGTTCAAATATTTACGGACCTCCATGTTGAGGGCAAAGTCCCCGTGATCCCACATAGGATCTTCCATGCGGTGCAGCTCCCTATTGGGCAGGCGGTCAGCCAGAGCCCTGACATCCTCCACCGCAGCCATATTATCATTGTCAGAATACCATAAGTGTAGCCTAGAGCTTATATTCTCGACAGGATAATCTGGTGGCTGCTCCGATTTATATATTTCCAGATTCTTTTTGGGCCCGTGATCGTACTGCCGAAAATGTCCTGACTGCTGCTCCTGCAGATAGTGCAGCATTTGGTTGGCGGAACAGCCGGACGGATGCGTAGCCATGCCCTCCGGCATAGCACTCTACATAATAAATATGGTTAAGATTTGCATAATATTAGGCAGATTCCTATCTCTTACCATATTTACACGACCACCAGAGTAAAGCCTTCCCAAAGCGTTGTCGCAAACTGGCCTCAGCATCTGATCCGGCTCGCATACATTGGAGAACATACTTAAAAGAATATTGTTGTATGGTATTATTTCTTGGTCAGAAAATATTAGCGAGTAGCTATTCTGATGTCCCAGATAGGGTCCCACTTTTCGCACTAATTTGTTTTCCATA